AAATTGCAACGGATTTTGTAAAAAAAATTTAAAGTAATGATGAGTTTTTGACGTTTTATGTAAATCACCAACAAATAACGATAAATGTCAAAACATCATGGAACTTTTAATTTTAAAAATTATAAAATGATTATTATATCAAATTAAAGCTTAAACTTTGCTCTTTAAGAAAATATATACTTTATTATTTCAAATTGTAACGGATTTTGTAAAAAAATGTAAAGTAATGATGCGTTTTCGACGTCTTAAGTGAATCAAAAAAAACGATAAATTTAAGAAAATCGTGGAAGTTTTAATTTTAAAAATTATAAAATGATTATTATATCAAATTAAAGCTTAAACTTTCCTTTTTAAGAAAATATATACTTTATTATTTCAAATTGTAACGGATTTTGTAAAAAAAAATTAAAGTAATGATGCGTTTTCGACGTTTTAAGTGAATCACCAAAAAATAACGATAAATTTCAAAAAATCGTGGCAGTCTTAATTTTGAAAATTATTAAATGATTTTAACACCAAATTAAAGCTTAAACTTTCCTCTTTAAGAAAATATATCCTTTATTATTTGAAATTGTAACGGATATCATGAAAAAAGAATTTTAATCAACCATGCAAAATTGGGTGTAAATTGCAACAACTAAAATAGACTTGTATCAACCCTTAATTCATAATTATTTTTCCCTTTTAGCTACTAATTGCAATAACAGTTAGTGTCTCGCAAACGTATGAAATGAAATACGAAAATATTTCGCTTTGATACCAACATTTCTGGTTATACACATTTTAAAATTGGTACAATGACACATACTTGTCTCTTTGGCAGCATTCGTGTATCATTTCATCTTTCACCAGAAGGGAATAAATCCTGATATTAAAGCGTGCAATAAAGTCCTTCTGGAACCATTGCAAAAGAGTCCTTTCTATCTGTCTCGACAGGAAAAGTTCGGTTCAAAGAGAACTGAGGACCGTTTTTCATTACTGGATGAAAAGCTCGCGGAGACATTTAACCCTCGTGTAGGTTTTTTTCTCAAAAACTTTACGTTATGAACAAAAATCGCACTTTTATTAGAAAATTATGCGGAAGAAAATAAACAATGAAGCAATTTTTAGGACTATTACTTGTGTGTTATATTTTTGGGGGGATATTAAGAAAAACGGTGTACGATTTCGAGAAAAGAAATCCTTTTTTTGAAAGAGAAAGGGTTATATTAATGATTCGGCTTTGTGATGGAACTTACACCCCTTATCCTTTACAAAAGGGATTATTTTTCCTGGAGCCCTTTGTGCCCGATTTGCTTTTACAGCGTATTTTTCAAAAGGAGATTGATCGTTTTAGATAAAACGGAAATATTAGGATGCTGGGGGAAAGGAGCTATGACATCTAACAATTATTTATTAAAAGGCACCATTTATATTAATTAATTTATTTTTTAAAAGCTAATAAATGAAGAGATTAAAAAATGTTTTTAATATAGGGTGTAAACGCAACGTAATAAAATTATAACAGCCAACCCATATCGATGGAATGGCACCCATAAGTTTTACGTTTTCAATTTACTTTTATCGTTACAAGTTTATTGCTGAATTCAGTCTTAAAATATATCACGACCTGAATGTTAACCAAACCCTTGCCATTTCCAAAATTATTAAATTGAAACATTTTACACCGTAAATAGAAATTTTATAGATACCTATAAATTTATTTTAGATCCCACTCAAACATAGCATCCCTTTGCGTCTCGTTATTTCATAAATATTTATTCCCTTTATGCATCGAAACTAAATTAAAATTCTGTTTGTACTTCCAGCTTTGTGAATATTACCAACAAGCTTTTGACGTTCAATTAAAATCTGCAACTTTATTTTATTTTGTATTAATTAAATAAATACAATGAGTTCATAGTACATCAAAACCTTGTAATGACATAAAAATAGCTCAAAATTTCCAAATAAAACTCAAAGTATAAGCTTTAATTTTGTGGAGAAACCTACATTGTAATGCAGCAGAAGCTTGCCTCAACCGATAGGCTCCAGTTGTGCTGCAAGTTCTGCAGTACGTTCCCCGAAAACTAAACAGGTTACAAGGAACCAGGTCACCGAATACCTAATCGGTTGGGATTTGTGCGAAGTCTCTCGACGATTTTCAGACTTTACATCGTACTTTACAGTAGAAGAGCTTTTCCAAACTTCACTGCTTCTTGTTCAAACATTCCAACAAGATTTTAAATTTAAGTTTTTATTAACATTTTAGATATAAAAATATTAAACGTTATGACAAACTATTTAAACTACAACAATTTGACGAGCTAACATTAAAATTATAAAAAAGAAGATGTTGAAGGGTAGTTTTACTACGTCATTTATTTTAACTACAACGGGTTGTGCTACTTCCTAAACTAGTTGCACCGCCACAACGGGAGCTTTAGACACTGGCAAATTTTCGCGCTAAATAATTCATATGCTTCACGGTAGCAGAGTGAGCACACTCGTTAATTTTGTTTTGTAAACTTGAGGTAAACGAATTTTGGGAAGTTTACCAAGCCATGGAGAGGCCGAATTATAAAAATCACTTCAGAAAAGTATTAATCTCTCTTAAATTGTTGGTAATATTAATATTAAGAAATTTGAAATAATCATATCTTAAGAACGAATTGAGATATCATCATGAAATAACAATCATTTTAAAGCTAATTTAATAAAGATTAAGTGTGCCATAAATAATTTCTTAGTTGCCATAAACTTTAATGTTATGATTTTTTAAGTCCAACCTTACACATTTGATTGTTATAGTTTTTACGAACAAAAACATAAAATATCGTATCTCAAGAACAAATTGAGATGTCTTGATGAAATAAGAAACATTTTGAAGATAATTTAATCAAGATTTAGTGTGCCATAAATTATTTTTTAATTTCCATAAACTTCAGTGATATGATTTTTTAAGTCCAACTCTGCATCTTCATTTATTTTTAAAATATGGAAATTCAAAGAATCGTATCTCAAGAACGAATTGAGATATCAAAATAAAATAACAAACATTTTAAAGCCAATTTAATGGGGATTTAGTGTGCCATAAATAATTTCTTGGTTGCCATAAATTTTAATGTTATGATTTTTTAAGTCCAACCTTACACATTTGATTGTTATAGTTTTTACGAACAAAAACATAAAATATCGTATCTCAAGAACAAATTGAGATATCATGATAAAATAAGAAACATTTTAAAGCTAATTTAATGGAGATTTAGTGTGCCATAAATAATTTCTTAGTTTCCACAAACTTCGGTGATATGATTTTTTAAGCCCAACTCTGTATCTTTATTTATTTTTAAAATATCGAAATTCAAAGAATCGTATCTCAAGAACGAGTTGAGATATCAAGATAAAATAACAAACATTTTAAAGCCAATTTAATGGGGATTTAGTGTGCCATAAATAATTTCTTGGTTGCCATAAACTTTAATGTTATGATTTTTTAAGTCCAACCTTACACATTTGATTGTTATAGTTTTTACGAACAAAAACATAAAATATCGTATCTCAAGACCAACTTGAGATATCATGATAAAATATCAAACATTTTAAAGTTAATTCAAAAGAGATTAAGTGTGCCATAAATAATTTCTTAGTTTCCATAAACTTCGTTGTCATGATTTTTTAAGCACAATAAAGAAGAAAAAATTTAAATATAAAATTGTTACTTTTTTAAAATTCTAATAAACAATTAAGAATTTATTAGCTTTAATAAAATAAAATAGTGAGCTTTTATATACATTTCTTGTTTACAATGTTTTGCCACACTCTGAAAAACAAAGGAAAGCACATATAGCAGCATATCCACGTAATTTTGCCGAGTTTAATAATAAAGTAAAGAGTAAATTAGTTAAACAAGTCAAATAAAATATGAATTACCTTCAACGTGAATAATGAAGGTACCGAGAAGCTTTGTACAAAACTCCAATAAAGTTATGGTACATTTTCGGGTCGTGGTAACGTAAATTTTGTAAAAGCTCACGTCGTACATAAACTTTCGGATTAATTAATAATTTGTTAAACGTGAATGACGGGGATGTGTACTCACGTTGAACATAAACAAAGCCACCACAACTCACTTCGTTGTTTATTAAAATAGGTAGGCATTATTCGTCGGGCAATTAATTTCAAAATATATTATAGATACAATTATTTGACCTAAAACGCAACCGTGAATGCTTTATTGTGCATAATTAATAAATATAGACAATTTTTTAATTATTATAACGATTTATCCAACATATTAAAACGTAAACTAAATGTTTTAAAACTTTTTGAGCTTTCAAATTAATACAGAGAATAGTTGAAAAATAATTATAAAAGGGCGTTGTGTGCTTTCCAGGAATGATAAAAAAAATTCAAAATCTAGGAATGCAGGGTCTATTCCCAGAACGACTAATTGAGCTTTTGGCGAAAGCGCAAAAGCTCGGTCGAATCGATAATTCCGCGGTTGCCGGAAAAGATGTAAATCGTGAAATATACCGAAGGGGTAAGACGGTCTGTATGCTGCGGCAAACTTAGCCCCCGGATACGTGAAGGCAATATCCGAAAGCCCCGTACGTTCCGAAAGCTTCCCGGATATCGGGAACTAACTTGTTGTAAACTTTCCCAACACTACTCGCAAACCAAATCCACGGATTATATTAGAACCAAACCCAAAACCCCAAAAGTCCGCATAAACAAAGAATATTACAGCGAAAAAATTTTAATAAATTTCCATATAAATATCTGCAAAAACGAAACGAGAGAGAAACGATTCATCTCATCGTCATATATCATAATTTCATTTCGTCGCAATACGCGAAAACATCACAAAGATAAAGTTAACAAGTTTCGAAGTTCGCATCTTCGTTTCGGTTCGTTTTAACCGCGCAAAATTAATTAGACAGGCGACGAACGAGAATCAATGAAAAGACCGTAAAGTGAAAAGTTAATTTACAAAAGGAGGGTGAAAATTCATCACTTACGGCTCTTCCGGTTACACTGGAAAGCGTCCCGACGCTGGCCAGCAAGAGAAAAGCCGCACGAAGATCCATGTTGACGTCAGGAAAGCGCGTGCTCGACTGAAAGCTTCGAAAAGCTCCGGTTCCCTTACTTGATATGTAGTTTGACGATTTACGGAGGATGGCACCACCAACTTAAATTCAACCAACATTTTAACTGTTGATAAGATAGAAATCAGTAATTACATTTTCGTATATTCGAGAATTGTATCTATAAATTAAGCTCATAAATAAAAGTAAGTTAGAAAGTTTTGTTGAAAGATGTCAAAACTGTGTATTAATTAAGATTAATTAAGATATTTAAGTTTATCAAAGGATGTTGGAAATGTTGCAATAGTGCCTGTTGAGAAATCTTTATCATTAAGTGATGTGTTGTCCTTGGAAGATCTTATAGTATCTTATCTTATAGTCTTTCGCCAACAGTATAATATGTTCTGCAAGTACATCTGGTATTCTATTTGAAACATATAATCTTATGCCAGCAGTATCTATGTTTTTATAAGGATATTTGATCTTCTCTTGGCGGATTCTAATATTCTGTTAGAAGTATACCAGCTATGTGTTGTGTTCTCTAAGCAACAGTATGTAATTTTATATCAGCAGTATTTGGATTTCTGTCAACAATGTTACCTTTCTGGAAAACAGTGTCTAGTCTGCTACAATTAGTAATCTAGTTTTCTACATCCAGCAAGTACCACCACTTAAGCCACTAACAATAAGTTCAAAATTTAATATTAAAAGAATACACTTACTTAGTGTGAAGGTCTCGAAACTTTTAAGCTTACCTCATTTTCCTTGCGTTCTTTGATTTTTGCTACCATTCTTCCTTATTTCATAGAAATATTTCTTGCTGAAATAGAAAAACATTATACTTTGTTATATATTTCTTAAAGTTACTTAATAATCGTGGTAAATAAGATACTTACAATCTTGTTCAAGAACTTGAGTATAACCTTAACAAACCCGAGTGCGTTCCGCCTTCCCCCACTGGGTGGCGCTATAAATTAAAAAAAAATTATTTTTATGCTACCATCTTTTTAAATTAATATATTTCACTATAATTATAAAAAATCCTCCTTAAATCCTATAATACATGATTTAGAAATGTAATAATAAAAAAAGCTTTAAACAACCAGTTGAAAAATTATTTTTTTTAAATTTCCCGCCATTAATAAAACCTTGTCAAATTGACAGTTTATTGGTTCATTTAAACCGTCGCTTTAACCGTCAAACGTAGTAAAACCTGTACGAATATCCACCTTTTTAAGTTCCGCCGTGATCGTTTCCGAACATCTTAATTTCACGGTATCTTTTAATAGCCGCATTACACCGAAAACATCACGCGTTACTTTTTAATAGTCGACGACATTACACAATTTAGCAAAAACCTAACCTAAAAAAATCCGACCGTTTCCTTTTGTCCGTTTTTAACGTGCTTTCGTACGGGAATTTAGTCAAAGCGAAAAGATGGCAGACGAAAATCGTATTCGTTCTTTTAAGAACAAGGGGAAAGACACCGAAGTAAGTACATTTTTATCGAAAGTACAAAAAATTTAAGGTTATTTTCGATTAATTACTTTAGGAAATGCGACGAAGAAGGATCGCTCAAACTGTTGAATTGAGGAAGGCAAGGAAAGATGATCAATTGCTTAAAAGGCGTAATGTTGATGCGTCTGAAGAAGCTACTTCTCCGTTGCAGGAGAGTAATAACTCATTGTCTCCTGTTACGATGCGTACTGAGGAGATTTTACATGGTAAAATTTTAATTGTTAATCAAAAATTAATGGGAATAATAATTTTTTACGTTAGGGATGATGAGTAACGATGAAACCGTACAACTTAAAGCAACGGAAGCTTGCCGAAAAATTCTTAGTAGGGAGCGTAACCCTCCGATTGATCATATGATTCGATTGGGTGTTGTTCCAAGATGCGTTGACTTTTTAACTCGTAACAATAAGTAAGTTTAATCAAAAAATTAATTATTTTGGATGTAATTTAATTGTAATAATTTAAATTAGCCCATCTCTCCAATTTGAAGCTTGTTGGGCTTTAACCAACATTGCTTCTGGTACATCTGAACAGACCCAAGCTGTGGTTGCAGAAGGAGCTTTACCTAAACTCCAAGCTTTACTTCTTTCAAAACGAATGGATATTGTGGAACAAGCAGTTTGGGCTATTGGTAACATTGCCGGAGATGGAGCTGAAACGAGAGATATGGTTCTCCATTCCAGAGTTATGCCCATGTTGCTTGCTTTAATTACACCAGAAACAACTGTAATTTAAATTAATTATTTTAACTAATTAATTAAATACTAATTTTTTTGTTTTTAACAGCTTTCACTTTTAAGAAACACTGTTTGGGCTCTATCAAATTTGTGCCGTAATAAAAATCCCCCTCCAGATTTTGAGTTAGTTAAGGGAGCTCTTCCTGTGTTAGCCCAACTCTTGCATTATAATGATAAAGATGTTTTGGCTGATACATGTTGGGCTTTGAGTTATCTTACTGATGGTAGTAATGAGAAAATTCAAGCTATTATTGATACTGGGTTAGTTCCAAGGTTGGTCCAATTATTGCATAGTCAAGAAATCACAGTATTAACTCCTGCATTGAGATCAGTTGGAAATATTGTTACAGGAAATGATAATCAGGTAAAAAAATGAAATGAATCGTTTTAATTAAAATTAATTTAATTAATTTTAGACTGATATAATAATAAACGCTGGAGCTTTGGCTTGTATGAGTCGTTTATTATCACATAATCGTTTCAACATTGTCAAAGAAGCAGCTTGGATGATATCAAATATCACAGCAGGAAATTCAGAGCAGATCCAAAAAGTTATTGATGCCGGTATTATGAAACCTTTATTAAGTGTTTTACAAACGGTAATAAATTCAATATTTAATTTATTTATTACTAATTTAATTAATTTAGGCTGATTTTAAATCTCAAAAAGAAGCAGCTTGGGCATTAACAAATTATACAAGCGGTGGTACAACTCAGCAATTGGGAAAATTGGTCGAAATGGGAGCTTTAAAACCAATGTGTAATTTGTTGAATTCTAAAGATTGGAAGACTGTCAGTGTTATTTTAGATGGGCTTAACAACATTTTGAGTGTATGTTGGATTTTTTTTTAATTATCTTTATGACATTAATAAAAATAAATGATTTTAGGCTGCATCAAAATTAGGGGAAGGTGAAAAAGTGGCAATAATGATTGAAGAATGTGGTGGTTTGGATTCTTTGGAAGCGCTTCAATCGCATGAGAACGAAAAAGTCTATGAAAAATCTTTAGTTTTGATTGAAAATTATTTCTCAGATGTAAATTTTATTAATGTACCAATTTGGGTTAGTTTTATTAATTTTTTTTTGTTATTTAGGGAATGCAAGGAGAAGAAGTTCCTCATACAAACCAAGATGGTCAAATTGTACTCAATCCTCAAGCGTTCCAAAATGCTCCAAGTGGTGACTTCAATTTTTAATATTTTCAAATAAACGCCCAATTTTTGTTTCTCGTTTTCAAGTAATTGTAATCTCTTAATATTCATTCCGCGTTAAGTGTTATAAATTGTACTTTTTTTCGTATTTTGTAGTTTTAATTTGTTTCGTTTTCTATAATTAAAAACAATTAATTTTTTCGATAATAATATGTATTTGTAAGGTTTCTAACTCTTTTTCTTATAAACAATAAAGCTTTAGTAGAAAAATAACGTTAGTTTTATTTGTTACTTTTGATTTATAATCTGAATTGCTCTTTCTAGAAAAGCTCGTATTATATGTATTAATTAACGTTCTCCGCGTTATTTATTCTTAGTAGCGTTTGGAAGGAAGAAAATTAATTAAAAGTATATTGCAGAAAGAGCTGGAGGTATTTTGAAACTTTTTGTGTCTAAAAAAGCTCCTTGGAAACGTAGAAGAATTGAGAGAAAAGTTTAAAACACCCGTTAATCATAATAGAACAAATAGTCATTAATCATCATAAAGTATATACTTTCTTCTATAGATAGCGAAAATTTCATTCAAATATCTGAAGAATTCTATTTCTCACAATATTTTTAAAATCTATGAAAAATAACTTAGTAAAGTCATAAAAATTAAGGTTGACTTCAAAAATTCTTATCTCAAGAACGAATTAAGTTTTTCAAATACGATTTTGTTCACGGAAAAGGGCACGCCTCTCTCTATATGTTTCATCAACATATCTTAAGAATTCAGGTTTTAACGATTCTTTAAAAGCAATGGAAAAAAGGTGTAAATTTAATGAAGCCGTCAAATTTTGATTAAGTTCAAAAAATTATATCTCAAGAACGAATAGAGGTATTCAAGTACAGTTTTGATCATGAGAAAGTACATACTTCCTTTTATATATAGTGTAAATTTCATCAATATGTTTCAAGAATTAAATTTATTACAATTGCTTAAATATGATCGTCAAGGTATTTCATAAAGGGGTTGAATTCAATGTTTATTATCTCAAAAACGAATTGAGATATTCAAGTACGGTTTAATTCATGAGAAAGTACATACTTTTTTTTATAGGTAGCGAAAATTTCATTAAGATATCTTAAGAATTCGATTTTTTACAATTTTTTAAATCCAATACAAAATAATTGTTAATTTCGACAAGTCACAAAAATTAAGGTTGTTTTCAAGAATTATTATCTCAAGAACGAATTGAGATATTCAAGTACGGTTTTGATCATGAGAAATTACATACTTCCCTCTATGTATGGTGTAAATTTCATCAATACGTTTCAAGAATTAAATTTAAGACGATTGTTTAAATGTGATCGTCAAGGTATTTATTTCATAAAGGTATAAAGGGGTTGAATTCAATGTTTATTATCTCAAAAACGAATTGAGATATTCAAGTACGGTTTAATTCATGAGAAAGTATATACTTTCTTTTATAGGTTGCGAAAATTTCATTAAGATATCTTAAGAATTCGATTTTTTACAATTTTTTAAATCCAATACAAAATAATTTTCTTGATTTCGAGAAGTCACAAAAATTATTATCTCAAGAACGAATTGAGATATTCAAGTACGGTTTTGATCATAAGAAAGTATATACTTCCTTTTATAAATCGTGATGATTTCATAGAAATATCTTAAGAATTTGATTTTTCACGATTTTTAAAAGATGATAATAAGGAATTGTTAATTTTATCAAAGCATAAAAAGTGTTATTAAGTTAAAAAAATGATATCTCAAAGATGAATGGAGATTTTTAAGCAAGGTTTTGTTTTCTATAAATCGTAAATATCAAGATTCTTTAAGATTACGAATTTACACGATTTTATTTCTTAAACTGAATGATACCTTTAATAAAAGCAACTCATACGAACTAATTGTAGAATTTTTTTCTTCTTAATAAAAGATTTTATATTATCATGATCTGGTTGAATGAGCAACCAACAACTTGCTCACTTTCAGGTTGCTTTTTTTTTGAACGAAATCTATATGGAGTGATAATGCGTTTTTGCCGTAACAGATGAAGGCATTGTTCGCGTCCTGATCGTCAGATTAAACGACCATTGTAACGGCCACTGGTTTTATAATCTATTTTTAATAAGCCATTAGATTAATAATCGGTAGCCAGACTTCCAACTACCAAACCATCTTATTAACAAGATTTAAATAACTAGATTTAAATCTTCTTTCACATTAATTAAGTTAAATTACATTTATGTTAGATTTATTAATAAAAATTGATTTAAAAAAGGTTCGCATTCGTAAAAAAAGAATTTATCTACAATCACCGTAGAAAATCGTCGATTCACTGCGTTCAATCGTTGCAATAAAAAACAATTATTAAGGAATTAGCGCCGATAATGAAGGTAAACTCGTTCGAAATGGTCCTTTTTCTCCATTATTGCTCGCCATGATACGAAGGATCCGTGACCATGCGAGATCCCTCTCCGAACTTACCTTCTTTTGTGATCACCATCTCCGAAATGACAGGACGTGTGTATTTTTGTTAAAATAAGGCCCAATTTACCAGTTAAGGTCTTCATTCGATCCCTAATTGCCTATCAATGACACAGCAGTATCCCGCTGCGTGTTCCCCCATTTTAATATAAATCAGTATTATAAGCAACGAAATTACAATGAAGAAAGAAAATTTAACAACTAAAGATTAATTTCGTTGTAAATGAATTTTAAACCATTCTTTTCTTCGTAATTGTTAGTAACGAGTTCATAAAGAGATAAACTTTTCTGAATTCCTAAAGAATAATTTTGTGTTGTTGTAATTTAAGAGATAATAAGTTACTTATAAAGGCAGCTGATACATGCGAGATTTGTCCAAATAATGAGACCTCAATAACCAGTGGTTGTTGGCTCAAACATAATAAAGTCAAAATGTCTTTACGAGTCGATATATCTGCATCATACCAATTTAAATTGTTATATAAACAGCTGTTGTACTTGTATATTTTTAGATTCATTATGAGATGGTGTCATGAAATTAATTGTAAACGAAATAAATGAAAGTATCAATACTGCGTCGAACCCTTTTAATGGAAGAAGTTGGAAAACCAAACTTATGGCAACCATCATCCAGCAACAAGATAAACAATGATTTGGGGAATTCCCCAATGACAAAATTAATAAGCAGCTATTATTCCTCGATGTGTATTGAGCGTAATAGTTACAGAGCTCACTTTTGGTGGAGGAGCTGGGAATAATCTTAAATTAATGTCCAATTTATCCGAAAATTGAGAACTAAAACTCTTCTTAACTTTGAATTCTGTTAACATTGCATTTTTATAACCTCAAAAATTTTTGATTTTGGTAAAAATTAATGTAAAAATTAATAATAATAACAAAAAGATTTTAATATCGTTATCTATCGCTGAAATAGCATATAAAACTGCGAAAATATTAAGTGTTTGTTATAAAATGTTGTTATTAACAGTATTTTGAAATTCAAATTAAACGTTTTTCCGATAGATGGTGCTAAGTTGTGTTTTTATCGAAATCACCCGATTTTTTATCGCAAAAATAAGCAGCAAATTTAAATGTAGCTTATTGAATCAATTAAAATTGAAAGAAAATCGATTTTTTTTCAAAAACTTTAATTATTTTATTTATTCATTAATTAATTTAACTCTTTTCTACTATCGCCATCTATACATTTTAAATATAAATTTTAAATAATCTAAAATTTTTTTAATTTCTTTTTATTTTTCTTATAAACTATACCTAACTCATAATGTACTCAATAATTTATGATTTCGTAATAAATAATTAATATTTAAAAAATAAATAATTACATTATTTAATATAAATTAATTAATCACGGTAGCGTTGACAATTAAAAAAAACAAAAGCTCATCGTTGACGTTTCCATGTCAATTTAGCATCCATAATTCTTTGAACAATCACAACACCAACAACAACAATAATTTATTAAACCCTTCGAAACCAAGTCGAATCTCTTCGAGAAGCGTTAGAGGCGAATCGTCGCGCATCGAATCTTATAATTTATCATTGCAACAATCATAACCCGTTTTCGATGGCTCCACCAGATGTCACAATGAGACCGGGATGGTTAATCCAGAAAAGGTGGTTATCCGAACAAGAAGCGGTTCAATGTTTGCGCACTCGCGAGTTTAGAAGAAAACAAATCAGAGGAAGTGGATACCGAGACCAAGAAACAATCCTACAAGTACGTATTACGTTCTATTTTGATGATAAGGGAAAATGAATTGATTTACGATTTTGACCTTGAACGCCTAACCGAACGTGTTTGATCTCGTTTGATGGTTTTGGGTTATGTGGGAAAGTTTCATCGCGCATGTTCGTCTTTGTAGATTGAACACTTTTATTTGGTTTATCGATTTTTACGTTTGTTTCTCGTACACTTTTTTAACATTTTTTTTTATTAAATTTCAGTTAAGAACGTTTGGTGAATACTATCAACAAATAATTAATATGGATCATTGTATTCCAGCACATGGAAAGTAAGTTTAGCACATAGATATTAAATAAAGTTTCATGATATAGATACAATTCCAAGACAGGCGACACTCTACTGATTGTCGCTTGTCGCGGAATTTCCCCAAATTTCTCTCAAATCAATTCGAACTTTTTTTTTTGATTTAGTGCCATGATACCACCGCTTATTAAACCTCTTGGAGGTACCGTTGAGAGGGTTGTGAATATCGAAAGGGTGATGGAGCACGTTGTAAAAATTGCTACAACCACAACGTCAGTTCAACCACCCCCAGGTTTTTGCTATTCCATGCCGTTTACCGGAAGATACATCAAACCGGTAAATTCTTATAATTTTAATGATGATTTGGATATTAATGCTATAATCGGTCGATTTAAAAATGCAAAATTAGATGATGATGAAATAAAAACTAATTTTGAGAATAATCAAAAAACGTTGCTTCTGAGGAAGTTCGTTATGGATTCGATCATTTCCGATCGTATGGTGAAACCAGACCAACGCACGAAAGATATTTGCAAAACTTTATTTCATATGTCGTCTGAAAAACTGGTAGAAACCACTTATGATTTTTTGAAAGCCGTCGGGTTCGATGGAATTTTATCGCATAAAAGTATCTGTTCTGAATCGGTTTTTGACGAGTTAGCTCAGGAGGTTTGTTTCAATGATACGTTAGTTTCGGAAGTAGCTTCCGCGTGTAACGCATTTAGTGCCGATAAGAATCGAATGGAATATGTTGCTATGTTAGAATATTACACCAGTTTAGAGTAAAATGATCAAGAATCATAGAGTTGCACGTTTTTCGTTAATTTTTTCGTTAATAACATTCAATTTTATTTATTTTTATTAATATATTATAAATATGATAAAAATAAATGAAGAGAACATTACATAAAATGTTGGTGTATTTTATTATTTTTTAATTCAATAATAATATTCATTAGAGAAGTTTATAATTTGTTAAAAAATTAGATACTACAAGTATACATATTAGTGCTTGAAATTTTTTTGAAAAAATTAAAAAGAAACAGAAATAGGCCATTTGGAGAGACCCTAATTCGTTCTGTCCAATTGGAAAAGATGATATGGTGTCTGTTTTACATAGACTGGACGTCGCGTTTTTATTTTTTGTGTAAGTAAAATAATAATATACAGTGAGTTTCACTTAAGATGTCTAGTGTTAGTTCTAGTTTTACACTAGCACTATCACTAGAACTAACACAAGACCTAGAACTAGAATCATTCGCTGAACCGTCTTGAGAGACGTGCTAAACCCGAATGTTTCTAATTCTAGGTCTTGTGTTAGTTCTAGTGATAGTACTTTTAGTTCTCGGTCTAATGTTGGTTCTAGTGACAGTGGTAGGTAGCGGTAGTTAGTATAAAATATCACTATGTTGCATATTTTTATTGCACTAAAACCCGAAACGTTCTAGGTCTAGTGTTAGTTCTAGTTTTACACTAGCACTAGAACTAATACAAGACCTAGAACTAGAATCATTTTGGTTTAGCCGTCTTGAAAGACGTGCAGCTAAATCCGAATGTTTCTAGATCTAAGTCTTATATAAAACTATTAGTCCAAGATCTGATGTGATAACTTAAATGGTACCTGGTAGATTAAAGATAACTGGTTGTAGGAAGAACAACACTTCAACCTGTTCTTCGCCAAATCTGAAACAAGAACTTCATTTAAATGTTTTGATTAAAAACAATATTTTTTGAAGCAATATACCGTTAATACAAAAGAAAAAATCTTTCTGAAGCTACTACCTTTTAAAACCCAGTAGGTTGGTTTTAATACTAGTTAATATCGTCAGCATTCTTCCAACAAGTCGATTGCTACCAAGAGATAAAACGTACTCAAGAAGCGGGGCTTTAATTTTCGATTACAATATATTAAGCATTATCTCGTACGATCTGATTTCTACGCCGCTATTACCACTTATCGTTTTAATAATAAAATAACGGTTCTGATCGACGTCTCTGGACGCGGTGCCGAACGCGTGTCGATTAAAAACGTGAACGAGGCGGAAAACTCGACAAAATACAAACAAACAAAAACCACCAGCATCAAGCACAATAACCAAAAAAGAACCGAGAAAGCTCAACGCTCGACAACAGTCGTTTCGATTCGATCCAATGTCCGGGATGGTAAATAAGTTAAATCGCGTGAAATTACGCTTTTATCTCCATCGTAATCTCTCTATTTAGGTGCCAAGAGTGTTTAGTATAGAAGAAAGTTAACAAGATGATGTATTGTTTTGGAGAGTAATGCAGGAAAATTGGTGTTTTAATAAAAATATAGGAAAGTAGAAATTTTAAATTGAATTTTTTTATATGTAGATTTATTTTTGAGTTAGATAAAAATTAAGATAGAAGCTTTAAAAATGGATCTATAGGTTGTAATAGTGGCGTCGTTGATGCGTTTATCACCACCTAACCATCTATTAAAAGACCGGGGTCTAAATGAATATTGCCCAAATTGCAAAAATTGACCGACGGCGAAGACGAAGGAAGAACGAAGGAGAACCGGTCGTCCTTTTGGTCCAGCGGCTTCCCGAGCCCAACTAAATTGGTCCATTTTCATAATTGCAATACCAATATTCATTATACACTTCTTGCGACGTATCGGCCGCCCGTCATTACGCCATTATTGGATATTACACTCACTCGGTAGCCTTGTTCCTCCTTTTTATCCAGGTTGCCTCGCCTTTTAAAAACTCTTCTACTTTTAACTCGATCCCTATGCCGATGCTGCTTCTTTTCGATGGAACTCCTCTACCTTGACCACCATCCCAAGAAAGCTTTAACATTTTTTTTTCGCTGATTTCATCGTGGAAAATTACTTTAATAAACCGTTCAGTTGTAAGAAGAAAAAGATACTGCTGTGTTTACCTTTTTTTTGTTATTAATTAATAAATAATTATAGGACATGTTTAAGAATTTAATTTAATTCTTTTTATATTATTAGTTTTGAAACATCCTATATAATTAGAGAACATATTCGTTTTAAATAGTTAATCGAATTTCGTTTGTCACATTGATCCTGATTTATTATTTATCTTTTAATTTTATTCTTTAAATCGACTCATTTACTAATTTCCTAAAACCATATTTTATAAAGCCATCATAATCTTTAATTGAAGCACGCATTAATCTCTTAATATTTGCAATTTCTTTCTCAATCATTGGTCTTCGCAACACTAAATGATTAAGCGAATATAATTTTAGATACGGTTTAAATTAAAAGTTGTCGATGATTCGGAATTTATTACTATGGGTATATCTAATAAATAAACGTAAAAATCTTCACTTTTCTGATCTTTTCCCTGATCTTTCTTAATTGGGATTTTCTTTTAATAAATTAACGTGTATGAGGCGAGTGCATATGTAGGCTATAATTGACACAGCGCATATTTTCACTGGTTGATATATTGCCTTTATAATTACTTGTCGCTTATTACCATTTATATTTGCGAAGTCATTAAACTGAATTATTTTCGATTATAAATGCTGCCCTATATTGGATTAATTAATCGTATACTGCATTATTATTATATCATTGCAAATTGTGTAGATTTTATCATCTATACGTTCTACAATGTGTGGTGTTAACAATTTTTTCCAATCATGTATTAGTTATCCTTTACGAGAAATTACTTTAAACATTAACTAATTGTAATTGAAGTAGGTTATTAATTCTTTAATGAAATTGTTTGCAGCTGATAAGTGGCGATAACAGATTACTAGATACTGTGCGCAGAAGATTGCCTATATGCGTAGAAACCTAGTGGATGCTTTTGATGGAGCAGTGGAAGCTACTACTGAGGGAGTAGATACTGCTTGCAGAAGACTACTATTTCTTGGCAGTAGATTAAATATTGTTCAAGGAAGACTACATACTGCTAAGGGAAAACTATTTACTGGTAACACTACAGGATGGCTGCATACTAGATATAACAGATTGAATGTCTACATACTGCTGAAAAAATATTGGATATTGCTAGCAGAAGACTACCTATGCTTGTAAAAGACTAGATACAGTTAAGAGAAGAGTGGATGCTCGTGATGGAACAGTGGTAGTAAAGCATTAGATATTGTTTGCAGAAGACAGTAATGTCTTTCAATTTTAGTTTTGGATGTGGCCGCAGCAACAAAATAATCTACCACAGATTTGATTATATCAAATGGGCCAACGGCATCGTTTATGGACTTATGACATGAAACTCCTTAACGAAGGCTTCGTACTGTTGGAAAAATATTGGTTATTGTTATAAAAAGATTAGATATTGCTGATAATAGAGTGGATACTGTTAACATAACACCACATATGACAAACTGAATTAATATTGCTGTAAGGTGTGTTAAACCAGTTCAGAATTAACAGCAAATCAGATTTAAACTTGTGTGCCTTAAATCATCAACAACCACGTAATCTATTTTCATTTAACTTTTTTCTTATTTGCCTTCTTGTTCCCCGTCCATCAACCATCCTTCCAACTCCCTAATCATCCCACACACCTACCTACCGTTTCCTTTTCCGTCTCATCTCCTTCATCGGTCCCGTTCTCCTTCGACGTTGATAAATAAACAATTTGGCGCGCACGTTAGCAGCACTACAATTAGCCGCCATAATAGTAATTTCGTTGGCCGCGGTTCTCAAAGCGTTTATCTCTCGTGTCCACGGAGTCTTTCGCGGCCTCGGTAGGAAATGGCTTGTGCCGAAGCGGCGTTAAGGAGTAGATATATTAAAGATAAGGCGAATGGCAATCTCCTCAAAGACCTCTCCTCTCTTCTTCATCGTTCTCTTTTCGTCTCCTTTCTTCTTTGGTCGTCTCTGTTCCGCACGTGTTTCGGTAGCTAATTAGATTGTGAAGAGCCTCTATTCCGTGATCCTATGGTACTATAATAGCTTTGAACCGTGCTGGTGTCTGAGTTGAAGAGAAGATCTAAAGCTGGATTACAAACTAGTCTTAAGGCTTATAGCTTACGACTTTTTATTTTTACTGAAACTAATGTAGATAAAGAATATAAATGTGTTTGAGTGATTAACACTTTTTCTTTACAATTATTGTTTTTAATTAAAATGTTAATCAAAAACTGTTGTGTGATTTAACACATAAACAAGAACCATCAAATCACCTGCACGCTGAATGTTATACATATTTAATCCTCTCAGGTTCTTAATACATGTGGTCGACAATGGATATCCAGTGCTCAGACGACGTAATTACAATATTTATTGGGATTAATGGCGTGATGAAACGATTTCTGTAACGACTGTTTAACGGGCTCCATTAATATTCATGTAAAAAATTGGTCAGCGTCTCCAGCTGCCTCAGGGCTAAAAAAATCTGCAAAAAAGGCACGAGGTGAAAAAGAAACAAAACGGCGAAGTAAAAAGACGGAGAATCCTGATATGGGGGAGAAGAAACGGTAGCCAAGAGTCGAAACGAGGTCGTTTTTAATCCAATTACTATAAATTACGGGCTTCTTGTATTAAGAGAATAGTTACCGGTGATTAATGCGTAAGTAAATTGTCAGGGCGACTTTGTGTTTTAACGAGATTTTATAATTGAACGACCACCTTCGTTATCCAACCACCACTTAAAGTCCATTAATTTTTTTTTTTAATAATAGAAAATTATCTTGGGACAGTCTATGACACAAAATTGTTAATTCGATTATAAAGAATCAAATTTAGTTTAGAATATCGTTTATATTCCGAGTAAGTAACATCTTAAGTTATGACAATAAGGAGAGAGAAAAAGAACGATCAGCTACCACTA